GAGAGTAACATCAAAACGCTGCGCTAAGACAAACCAGCCACACCCACCAATTGAAGAACACATCGACCCTCATTTCCCCCCCCCCTCAAACATTGCACACACACACACACACACACACACACACACCAACATACACAACACAACACAACACGCATTCCCCACCTCCGCGGCTCCGGGATGTTTGCGTTGTCGAGCAAAGTGTCAAGCTCGCGCTTGGAGGTTCCGCCCTTTGCCAGGACACACATCATGGCACAGCGCAGGCGGTCCTCAATGGACAGACTGCGGTCAATCAGCACAGACGAGATCTCGTTGATGACGTCTTTCACCGGCGTACCGTCAGGCTCCTCCCGGCACAGGATGTTCTGAAGGGGGGCGTTGGAGGGGGCAAGGGGTGGTCGGTTGAGGAGGGAAGGTGGGTTTGGTTGGTAGAATCAGCTTTCCTGTGAGTGTCACGGCTATGGCGGCGGCTGCCCCAAAACACACACACACACACACAGGCACAAGTACACACACACACACACACACACAGGCACAAGTACACAGGCACGCACGCACACATCAAATAAAAAAGCAGCGAACCTGCTCTGCGCGCGTGCACTCCTCGACGGCAGAGGAGAATGCCTTGTTGATCTTGGTGGACATGTCAATGTGTACGCTGAACATCTGCGTCTTCTCGCGGTGCTGTGGCAGCGCCTTGAGCAAATCCTTCAGCGCCTTCGTGCTCTCAGACGCCTGCACAGCCAAATATGGTGGCGGCGGTGGTTGTTGAAGCGATGGTCGTGGTGATGGTGGCGGCGGTGAGTCGCATTTGTGTGGGAAGAAAACAGTTCTGATGAGATGTCTAAAGAGAAACAAAGTACAGCTCACCACAAACACACCACAGCACAGCACAACAAACAACACACCACAAACGCAACACAGCACACCCTTTTGCTCCATTCACACAATTCCGGTGCAATGGTGTGCATACCTCGCCCTTGGGCAGGCCCTGCGTGCGCTTTGCTTCGTCCGAGAATGCCTTGAACTTCTCCGTGACCTCGCGAAAGACCTCTGAGATGTGGCGGTGGCGGAAGGCAACCCACAGGTCGTCGCTCTCGTCCAGCCGAACTTGCTTCCGCGACGCGCGCCCCGCACCTGCACACGCACACCCGGACGTGTGTGTGTGTGTGTGTGTGTGTGTGTGTGTGTGTGTGTGTGTGTGTGTGTGTGTGTGTGTGTGTGTGTGTGTGTAGGGGGGGGGGACGTGTATGAGTGTGAATGTGTGGGTGTGAATGAACGAGAGAGGGGGTGGGAGAGTGAGTGAGTGAGTGAATGAACGAGAGTGAGTGAGTGAGTGAGTGAATGAACGAGTGTGTGTGTGTGTGTGAGTGAGTGTGTGTGTGTGAATGTGATTCCATGTGTGTTTGTGCATTTGTAATTTACAACACGGTCGGCTGCACTTCATCACAAAGCAGGTCACACAGAAACATGGGAAGTATGGTGCATTTCGTGCCATGTCCACAAGGGCACACGTGTCCCCATCCCCGGCTTTGACGCACCATCGCGGAACTCGAACGAGTACATGCCGTTCTTGATGTCCAGCAGGTCAAAGCACGCCGCCTGCACAGCCGCGCGTACGGGTGAGAGAGATTGAGTGAGTGAGTGAGTGAATGAGCGAGAGAGGGGGTGAGCATGTGTGTGCATGCATGTATGTGTGTGTGTGTGAGGAATTGAGTGAGTGAGTGTGTGTGTGTGTGCATGTATGTATGTGCGTGTGCGTGTGTGTGTGCGTGTGTGTGTGTGTGTGTGTGTGTGTGTGTGTGTGTGTGTGTGTGTGTGAGTATGACGACGACGACAACTTGGGACAGACGTGGAGCTTATGCGCGCAAGAACCGCAGTAGTGTCAGAAAGAAGCAGGTTATCTATCTTACGCCAAACCTAAGTTGAGCACAGGCCTCCAGTCCCGGACCAAATGCCAAACTGAGATGGCGAGGGACATAAAGGGCAAGACAAGAACGTCGTCCCCCATGCCGACCTTTCAGTTAGATTTTCGTTACGGCTCTAACCCTACACCGCGCTCATCCCACTGCCGACGGGCAGGTCAGCCAATAGCAACCTCTATTCTCGTGACCCTGCAGACCTGTGATCGCTTAGGTGCCAGCTTGTATAAGCCCTACCCTCCCTCTTTGTGTTTGAGATTGTAAAACCATGAAACGCGAACTCAAGCGCTGTGCAGCACACCGCAGCACACCGCAGCACACCGCAGCACACCGCAGCGATGGGGAGGATGAGGACAAAGGACGAAGAACTAGCTCTTGTGAAGACAGGAAGACAGGAAGGGAGAAGAGAAGCAGCGTCGAAGTGCCTGTGCGCTGGCAGTGGCGGTTGTGGTTGTTGTGGTTTGTGCGCTCAGCTCTCTGGAGAAACTGTCAAGATTTCATCCAATTCTCCACAACCACCGAACACAGACACACACACAGACACACACAGACACACACACACACACACACACACACACACAGACACAGACACACAGACACACACACGACACACACACACACACACACACACACACACACACACACACACACACACAAAACAACACAACACACACACGCATGCACACACAATACCAACTCCACCTTGGGCATCGGACGACGGGCCGCTCCTTGAGAGTTTCGCAGAGGGTGAGCACCTGCGCGGCGATGCCGTCAATGTCAAACGCGGGCGCGTGCGGCGAGTAGCACGAGTACAGCCCGTCTGGGCGGTCAAGCGTAAACACCTGGCAGTGGTGGTGATGGTGGTGGTACGGAAACAAGTGGTGAATACGGTGGTGGTAGTTGTGGAGGCGGTGGAGAACGATGACGAGAAGAAGTGATGGCGGTTGGCCGGGCGGAGGGGAGAGAAAAGAGGAATGTGGAGCAGGGGTGGGGGTAGGGAACACGTGCTGACACACACACACACACACACACACAGACACCACACACACACACACACACACACACACACACACACACACACACACACACACACACACACACACACACACACACACACACACACACACACACACACACACACACACACCACACACACACACACACATACACTCACACACACGTACACACTCACACACTCACACACACACACACTCTCTCTCTCTCTCATGTGCACACACACATACGCACGCGCACACACACATACGCACGCACACACATTCTCTTATACGCACACACACTCACGCACTCAACACATACGCACGCGCACACACACATACGCACGCACACACATTCTCTTATACGCACACACACTCACGCACTCAGTCACTCATACGCATGCACACGCACGACACGCGCTTCTAATTGCACATTGTGTGGCAGACAAGGACGCACCCTTGCTTCGATGGGCTTGAAGAGGATGTTCACCTCCTTCAGCGTCTTCACGTGCTTGACCACGCGTGGGCGGGCAAGCTTTGCCAACAGTGGCTGAGGGCACGGCGTCAGGAAGAAGATGTGCACCGCCTTGTACAGCGGGCGAGGCGTGATGTCGTCCACAATCCGCTGCACATTCTGTGACGCAGAAGGAGAAGCAGCAGCAGGAGCAACGGTCACCGTGAGAAGGAAGGGAGTGTGGGTGAGTGCCAGAGTCCAAGCGCATTGCGTCAGTACCGTTGCTTGGACAAGGGGATGAAGCCCAACACAAGGAGCAACATCATACGCACACGCACACACATGCACAAGCACGGACACACACACACACACACACACGCACACATGCACATGCACACATGCACACGCACCTCCTCGGTTGGGAGGCAGAGGTAGAGGGCGTGAAAGTCGGGAATCTCCTTGCGAGACTTGTTGATGCCTTCCACGACGGTGATGCCTTCTTGAATGACCTCCGACATGCGATAACACGACGACAGGATGTGCAGCGCCGTGTCGTCCACCACCAACACCTTCCACAGATCGCCTTCCTCCACTTTGATGCCATGCAGCACCTGTCACAAAACAAAACAAAGGGAGGGGGGTTTCACAGTTTGGGAAGTTGGGAAGAGACAAGACACAGTGAGGGTGAGGGTGGGGCAAAATACAACGAGGCACAAGAGAAGCGGAGAGCAAAGGCGAAGAAATCGGGGCACACACACACACACACACACACACACACACACACACGCACACGCACGAGCACAAACACGCACCTCATCGCGGATCTTTGCTTGAACGATGGCCTTGAGGGAGAACTGCTCCAGCTCCTCCCGTGAGGGACCTCCAAGAGACAAGGACATGTTGACGTGGTGCGAGTTCACGCGATGCGGTGCACGTTAGCTTTGGTGCGTGGTGCTGCGTGTGTGGGGGTTTGCTGAGTGGACGCGCTGCTTGCTTGCTGCGTCATTTGTGGGTGCCTGAAATTGCCGAACTTTTGCGAACATCATACTAAACTTTTCGTCTTCCACCTCAGCGCAGCAGCAGCAGCAGCATTCACAACAAACACAAACACGACCTGCTCCCTTCTCCTTGCGTGTTTGTTCGACCAGACTGCTCACTGAGACGACAACGACAGCACACAGGCAGAGAGCCTTGAAAGACTGGTGTCTTTGATTGTCACACTCTTCAACCAACAAAGGCTAAGATGGCGAAGCGCACGCGCAGTGACGGATTCCGTCGCACAGACATCGACAAATTCGATGAGGACAAGTACCACGACGAGGTTGAGGCGAGCCAGGTTGACAGCGCGCTGGCATCGCAGATGCAGAAGGAGGCAATTGGCCTGCTCAACGGCGGAAAGAAGGCAGAGGCCCTCAAGGCAGCGCTCAAGTCTCCTCCCCTTTCTTATCGCACAGCTCAACCCGACCCCGTCAAGGTGTGTGTGTGTGTGTTTGTTTTGTGTGTTAGTTTTGTGTGTGTGTGTGTGTGTGTTTTTGTGTTATGTGCGCGGTTGTGCGTGTCTTGTATGTGTGCATGTCTTCTGTTATCCGTGCGTTTGTGCGTGACTTGTGTTGTGTGTGCGTGTGAGCATGACTTGTGTTATGTGTGTGTGTGTGCTTGAGTCTTCACATGCTCTTGCTCGGACAGCAGGCGTTTCGTACATTGTTTGCATGCATGGATTGAGGCGCTGTGCAAGCGTGTGTGGATTGGGTTGCGTGCTAACACAACACAAACCAACATTGTCGTTCTGGGGACGGGGTGCAGGTGGAGTACCTCAAGGTTGTGCTTGACATTCTCGGAGCATTTAAGTCCACGGAGGTGGCAGCCGCCGTCAAGGAGTTGTCACAGGTGTGTAAAGCTGTTGTTCTTGTTCTTGGTCTTGGTCTTGGTCTTGTTCTTGTTCTTGTTCTTGTTCTTGGTCGTGTTCTTGGTCTTGTTCTTGGGCTTGTTCTTGGTCTTGTTCTTGGTCTTGGTCTTGTTCTTGTTCTTGTTCTTGTCGCCTTACCTCGCGCACGCTCTCACTCGCACGCTCTCATGCGCATCAACCCCGCCCTCTCCCCCACGCACACCTGCACGTGTGCAGGACGAGTGCGATCTTCTGATGAAGTTTGTGTACCGCGGCATGGAGTACCTTGCGCGCCCCAACACGGCGGCGGCCAAGGCCATGGAGGAGGACGAGGCCCGCAGGGCTTACTCCAACATCCTCCTCACCTGGCACAAGCAGGTACGTGAATGTGCTGCGTTCGCTTGGTGTGTGTGTGTGTGTGTGTGATTGTGTGATTGTGTGTGTTGTCTTTTCTGTGTCCTGTGTATGTGTGTGTGTGTGTGTTTTGTCTGATCTGTGCGTTCGTGTCTCTTGTGTCTCTCTTTGTGTGTGTGCGCGCGCGCTTTATCTGAGTCTGCCCTCTCTCTGTGAGAGTTTGTGTCTTTGTGTTTGTGTCTACCCATGGACTGCCTGCCTGCCCGTGTACATGCTTGCACTTTCACGTGTGAGTTTCGAATCAACACATTTACTCACACCAACCAATGCAATGCAATGCAATGCAATGCACCCTCCTCCTCTCCTCCCCTCCTCCCCTCCCCCCCCCCCCGCGGGTTCACAAACACAGGCAACAGAGCACGGAGGCCTTGGCTGCGTTGTTCGCGCCATGGCGGACCGCAAAACCGTCTAACAAACCAACCAACCAACCCCCCTTCTCTCCCTCGCCGATCCCCTTTCCCTCCGTGCGTCGTTGCTCCCTGGCTTTCTTTCGCTTCTTCTCGTGCGTGCAAGTTGATGTGATACGTGCATGTGCCTGTATCTGTGTCTTGTATCGGTGTTGACGTGCATGCATGACCGCCAGAGCCATGCTGTGAGCGCTGCTTGTCTTCGATGTGTGTGCTTGTATGTGCATGAGTGAGTGTGTGTGTGTCTGTCTGTGTGTGTGTGTGTTCTTTTTGTGTACTTTTGTGTGCTGGTCTCTGTCGCTCCCCTTCTGTTTTGCTCCTCCACGCCTTGTTTTGTCACTGGCTGGGGCTGCTGCTGTCTTGGTTATCCCCACCCATCCCATTCATTACACAGCATAATGTACGCCACCCCCATTTCCCTGTGTGTGTGTGTGTGTGTGTGTGTGTCGCGATGTTTTGGTTTGATTCGATGACATTCGACAAGATGATGATGCAACCGCATTTTCCGCACTCAAACGCAATCAACAACAAGTGTCACCGAATGAGCGAAGAAACGAAACCAGCTGCTTCTGCGACGAAGCAAGACACCACGATGCCATCAGGAGACTCGACTGAGCAAGATGCGCACGCCAACGCCAGCGTCGACGAGGCCCATGATGGGGAGCGGCTCGTGTCCGTGCCGCTGCATGCGCGCGTGCGCTTGAATGTGGGCGGCGTGCTGTGCACGACCACGCTGGGCACGCTGACACAAGGCCGCGCCGCCGGCAGCAGGCTCGCAGAGACGTTTGGGGCCACAGACGAGCAGGGCAAGCGCGCGGTCGATGATGCGATGAGCGACGACGCGTTCTTCATTGACCGCGACGGCCACGTCTTCCAGCACATCTTGCACTGGCTGCGCACGGGTAACGTTCGCAGCGACCTCAAGAACGGGTGCAGCACGGCAAACGCCATGGCCCGCATCCGTGAGGAGGCCCTGTTCTATGGGCTGCCGAAGCTGGCAGACGCCGTCAAAGCGGAGATGGACACGCACGCCGCCGCCGACGCACAGCTCCTGGAGACGCTGCGGCTGGCGGAGAAGCAGCGTGCTGAGGCACGCTCCAAAGGGCCGCTGGTGACGAAGCAGCCCTCCTTTGACATGGACAACATCAAGGGCATCTCCCATGACGAGTTCATGGCCATTTACAACGACGCGCACCAGCGCACGGGCGTGGGCAGGTGCCCCGGCAGCGATCTCTCCGGCCTCGACCTCAACAACCTCAAGCTCGCTGGCTGGGACTTCCGTCACACGGTCTTGATCAACACCAATCTCAGCAACTCCGACCTACGTGGTGCCCGCCTCCCCAAAGCAGACATGACAGGTGCTGACCTCACAAACGCACAACTTGCCAACGCCCAGCTTTCGCACGCCATCATGAAAGGAGCGAAGCTCACCGGTGCGTGTGGTGTGCATTTGTGTGTGTGTGTGTATGTGTGTGTGTGTGTGTGTGTGTATGTCCTTGTGTGTATGTCCTTGTGTGTGTGTGTGTGTGTGTGTGTGTGTGCTTGTTCATGTGCACGTGTGCTTTTATGTAGGTGTGCTCTTGTGTGTGTGTGTGTGTGTGTGTGTGTGTGTGTGTGTGTGTGTGTGTGTGTGTGTGTGTGTGAGTGTGTGTGTGTAGTCATGTCATTTGCATGCACATGCCTGTGCGTATGTGTGTGACGCCTCCTTCCAAGTCGTTGCATTGCACACTGTGTTCGATTGCGTGCACGAACAAGCCAGCTTGCTGTGGCTGACCTCTCATCGGCACGCTTGCTTGCAGGCACGGATATGTCGCACGTGGACTTGACAACGACAACGCTGGACCGCACCACGTTTGAGAAAGTCAAGTTGTGCCACAGCAACTTGCAAGGGCTCGACCTCACCCTCGTCACAATCAAAGGTACACACACGCACAGCTGCTGTACGGGGATGCTGCTGAGGCGCGTGCATGCAAGCAATTCGTTGCCCAGAAAGACACGCACACGAGTGCGTGATCATGTCCCACAAGTGTGTCCGTGTACGAGTGCGCCCAAACACAAACGTGTGACCATACATGATTGTGTTTCCCACCCTCACATGTGTTCACTCACACCCGTTGTACCGTGCAGAGGCGGACTTTTCCAACGCGGACTTGAGCGGGGTGGTGCTGGTTGGCGTTGACCTGCGGGCGTGTGTGCTCACCGCCGCCACACTCAAGGAGGCTGATCTCAGCGGCTGTGACCTGCGCGGCTGCGATCTCACAAGCTGCGACCTTTCAGGTGCGACGAACGATCCAATGGGAAGAAGGAGGGGAATGATGAGTGTCACGACTGCTTGCTGCCGAAGTACAGGTGCCTCTTACGCTTCACCCCCTTGCTTTCGTGCCCTTTCTGCCAGCTCACACCAAGGCGTCTGATCTTGTCTTGTCTTGTCGTGCTTCTGCGTTGGCACCACACAGCTGCGGTATTGGATGGTGCGAAGTTGGAGGGCTGCAAGCTAGCTAATTCCACTCTCAAACACGCGTCCCTCGCACGTGCTGACTTGCATGGCTGTGACCTCAGTGGCCTTGACCTCACAGGTACAGAGAAGACACACCAAGCGTGCGCTCATGTATCATCACCCATTTATTTACTCACTCACGCATACACTCACTCACTCACTCACCCCTTCACTCACTCACTCACTCCTTCACTGACTCACTCACTCCTAGCACTCACTCCTTCACTCACTCACTCCTTCACTCACTCACTCCTTCACTCACTCACTCACTCCTTCACTGACTCACTCACTCCTAGCACTCACTCCTTCACTCACTCGCCCACTCACTCACTCACTCACTCACTCACTCACTCACTCCTTCACTGACTCACTCACTCCTAGCACTCACTCCTTCACTCACTCGCCCACTCACTCACTCGCCCACTCACTCACTCACTACTCACGCACTCACTGCTCACTCGCCCACGCGCCCACGCGCCAAAGGGACACGCCTGAATGGCGCAAATATCATGGGCGCAGACCTCACATTCTGCACGCTGACTGGCACCGACCTGAGTGGTTGTGATGTGCACGGCCGTGATTTCGCAGGCTTCGACCTCACAGGTGCGTTGTCATGTAGGGGTGTGACAGCAGTGCGTCGCACAGCAAACATGCTTCCACCTCCATGCCATTGAACACTTGTGCTCCGCCTACACTGACGGTCACATGTTCACGGTTACATGTTCACGGCCCTTGTTTGCTCGACAAACTGCTCGACATGGCTGCTTCCGGTACACTTAGGGGCAAGTTTCTGTGGCGCCAACGTGACCAACACGTCGTTCAAGGGCGCCAAGATGACCCGCATCAACCTCAGCAGATGCGACCTCCGTGACCACGACTTGTCCGGCTTTGATCTCACAGGTACACCCATCCACCATGCGTGCGACAACGCATCATTTGTGCTGATCAATGTCGCACTCACCTGCAGTGGTCACTCAACACAAACACGCTTGTTGCTGTTGACGCGAACACGGCTCAATACCACTCTGTCCCACACAGGTGCAAACCTTGCACACGCCAACCTGGACGACGTAGATCTTACAAACACCACGCTGGTTGGCGTCGATTTCAGCGGCTGTGACCTCTCAAACCGCGACTTTGAAGGTCCGTGCATGCAAGCAACTCTGACACAGACCGAACATCTATGTGTGCCTGTCTACATTCATATGTATGTGTGCGTGCGTCTCTCTCTGTGTGTGTGTGTGTGTGTGTTGGGGGGCACACCACTCTCTCAGCACGCCAACCAACGTCACCACTTATTGCTGCCTCCCCACCATTGGTAAATCACCTTTGTCACCACCTCAACGCATTTGCCAGGCGCTAACCTGACTGGTGCAAAGTTCACGCGTGCGGATCTGCTCACCACAAACCTCAAGACAGCAAACCTCTCAAACTGCGACCTCAGCCATCAGCACCTCAGTGGGCTGGACCTTGCCGGTGGGTTCTGTTGTCCTGTATGATGTCTTACATCTGGTTGGTCTGTATATGTTTGCTTGCAGGCAGACGAAGGCGCACACAACAGCACAACGACACACTTTGCACCCCGTGCTGTCACGTGGAAGAAATGTTGACTGATGTGTTACAACACCATCAACACTCACCGCGACTGCCACCACCTCTTCACCATCCACATCAACACCGTTGTTCTTGACACCAGACACGACGCTGGCCGGCGCAAACCTGACGGGGTCCATCATGATGGGGACGCTACTGCGGCGGTCAGACCTCAACCGCGCAAACCTGAGCGGCTGCGATCTTCGCGGTGCAGACTTTGCTGGTGTGTGCGCGCATGTGTGTGTGTGTGTGTGTGTGTGTGTGTGTGTGTGTGTGTGCCTGTGTGTGTGTGCCTGTGTGTGTGTGTGTGTGTGTATGTGCGTGTGTGTATACATCCGTGTTCGTGTGTCTGCCTGCCTGCCTGTCTGTCTGTCTGTCTGTCTGTCTGTCTCTGTGTCTGTGGGCTTCTACCCTCCTGTCTTCTGTCTATTGTGACACTGCGAACTGGGGCATTCTTTTGTTATATTTCGCCTCACCACCCGTTGTTTCCTTGGCTCGTTCCCTCCATCTCTCCCACAAATCACACCACGCATTCACCTCACTGGCCTTTTTATTGCTGACACGCCACGTGTGCCAGAGTCCCAGCTGCGTGGCATTGTCCTGAAGGACGCTAATCTTGTCGGTGCTGCTCTCTACAACGCGTCGCTCAGTGGCTGCGATCTCCGTGGTTGTGATCTCACAGGCTGTGACCTCACAGGTTGGTCATTGCCATCAGTCTGTGTGTCCGGGTGCCTGCGTGCCTGTGTGTGTGTGTGTGTGTCTGTGTGTGCCTGTGTGTGTCTGTGTGTGTGTGTGTCCTGTGACGTGCGTCTCGTAGGTGATTGCCCTGTCATCTCTTCATCGTGTGTTACCATTGCTCGCCCTCATGGTGACACCATCCACCAGAGTCGAACTTGAGCGGTGCGTTGTTAACAAACGCGTGCCTCACCGGGGCAACCCTGAAAAAAGCGGACATGAGCAACTGCGATCTGCAAGGCCACGACCTGAGCGGTTGCGATTTGACAGGCATGTTTTGGCACATGTGAGGGGCGTTCGCCCGCTCGGTTGTCCACGCTCACCGTCCTCGCCATTTCACTTTCCGCTGCACCTCCCACTCCGTCTTCATGCGAACTCACTCACTTGTTTGCTGCTCCCTCAATGCCCTCCGCTCACACCCACCATAACCAACGCGTACACCGGTTTCTTTCTTTCGACAACACAGAGTGCAACCTAACCAGCTGTAACCTGCAAGGAGCCAACTTGTACAACGCCAATATGCAGGATGCCACGCTCAAGGCCTGCAGTTTGCTTGGCGCAAACCTACGCGAAGCAAACCTCAACAACTGTGACATGCACATGCATGACTTGCGAGGTGTGACAGCCGAGATGACATTGCGCATACCACCATTCTTGCTACGCCCTGCTCTTGCCACCCACGCAACCACGCTTGTGCTGGGTCCCGTCGTCAAACGATGCCATGCAAGGCACTGTGGGGTGCACTGCACTGTGCTGCTGTTACCAGCTCAATCTGACAAGTTCGGGTGTGCCATCTCACTCGACCTTCTTGTTGTCTGTTTTGCAGCGACGGACTTAAGCGACGCAAACCTCCGAAACACAAACCTGTGGGGCGCCAACCTTGAGGATGCCTGTCTCAGCAGCTGTGACCTTCGAGGTGATCTTGATGCCTCGAATAACTGACCTCCGTCCTAAATTTGCCCGTAGCCATTTGCTGCCTTCTTGCGTTCACACGTATGATGATGCAACATTTCCATCCCATCTCTTTACATGTCAACTCTTCGCTACATTCGTGCTCCCAGATGATTTGTGTCTTCAACTCATCTCCCTCATCTCCCGCATGTGCTGTTTTGTTTCTGCTGGTATCGCTTTCTTGCTTTGGCACCAGGCGCGCGGCTTGGCAAGGCAAACCTTACCCGCACAGACCTTGACGACGCAACACTGGTGCAGGCTGACTTTAGTGAATGTGATCTCACCGGTTTTGACTTCAGCGACTGCGACATGTCAGGTGAGGCTCTGCGTGCGTGTGTGTGTGTGTGTGTGTGTTGGGGGGGGGGGTGATGAAGGGATACGTGTGAGCTCAAGGTCTGTTTCGCACAGCGCCCTTGAAGCCTTGAAATCGCGAAAGCTGGCACAACTACACGCACTCACTCGCACACACACACACACACACACACACACACACACACACACACACACACACACACACACACACACACACACACACACACACACACGATAGGGTGTGGCTTCAACAAGTGCAACCTCAAAGGTGCCAACTTGAGCAACAGCAAGATGGGCGGCTCGAGCCTGAAGCACGCCATTTTGGCCCACGCCCGCCTGCAGAACACCATCCTCAACAAGGCCATCCTGCAATTTGCAGACCTCTCGTATGCATATCTTGACGGTGCGAAGCTCCAAGCAGCAGACTTGTCCCACGCCAACCTGCTGGGCGCGACGTTCACAAACACAGATCTCCGCTCTGCCGTGCTCAAGGACTCCGTGCATGACAACGTCAACTTTGAGAACGCAAACATGACTGGCGTTGTTTGGATGTAATAATGTGCTTATGTGCATGTGAGATGTGGATTGATTGTTTGTTTCTTGTTTGATTGTGCCGTGTCACAACACCCTCAGATCCCTCTTCCTTGCTTCCCTGCCTCCCCTTCAAGCTGAGTGCAGCGCTTCCAGGCTTCCTGTTCTCTCAAGCTCTCTTGTTGTTACTACTTTACTAGGGTGCATTCATTGCCCAATCAACACCGCGCGTTTTCGCTTTGGGTGTTGTGCAACATCAAACCCCCCTGTACAACAACACTGCCCTTGTGGTCTTCTTGGTCTTCTTTCCGCCGGGAGAGAGCACTCACATCAATCCTTTCAAGCAAGCAAGCAAAACGCAGCAAATCGCCACGCCCTGCTCGGCAGAGACAAAACATGGCGGGAAAATGGCAGGCCCGCTTGTTACTTGCCGTTCTTCTGTGGTTTTGCAGTTTTTGGTCCCTTTTCCTTCTCGACATTCATCAATCTCACACACACACAAACAACAGGAAGACACACATACACACGACCGCGACCTGGCAGCCAGTGAAGCAAGCACCAACGACTCTCAAGAGCATCATGCCTCGGCACGCATATCGCGCCTCATTGCTTGACTTTCATCAAGTCAGTCACTTGTCATGAGGAGATGCATAGACAGTGGGTGTGGCGACCGCTGTGCGTTGCCGTTTTCGATGTTGCAATCCAACAACACACGCCCATGTACACTACGAACCGTATTAACAACTCGGGGGCACACACACACACACACACACACACACTTGCTAACACACACACTTGCTAACACACACACTTGCTAACACACACACACACACACACACTCGCAAACACACACGCACACACACTTGCAAACACACGCACACACACACACACACACACACACACACACACACACACACACACACACACACACACACACAACGCAGGATGCCACGAAGGTTGGGCTTGATGGAGACGGTGCCAAGGTTGCGAGCCACATTCGGTTCGTGGACGACGGCCTGTTGATCGTGGAAGATGGCAAGATTGCGTACGCTGGCGCCTTTGAGGAAGAGCTCATCAACGGCGACACTGTCCATGACTTTCGAGGGAAGATCATCTGCCCCGGCTTCATCGACACACACATCCATTATCCGCAGATGGAGATGATCTGCGCTTACGGCGAGCAACTCCTCGACTGGCTCAAGACATACACCTTTCCCACCGAACGCAAATACAGCGACAAAACGTATGCATTCTGTGTTTGCGCGCGCGCGTGTGTTTGTGTTTGTGTGTGCGTGCGTGCGCGCGTGTGGGTGTGTTTTTGTGTGCGTGCATGTGTGTGTGCGCGCGTACGTGTTTGTTTGTGTGTGTGTGTGTGTGTGTGTGTGTGTGTGTGTGTGTGTGTGTGTGTGTGTGTGTGTGTGTGTGTGTGTGTGTGCATGTGTGTGTGTGTGTGTGTGGGTGTGTGGGTGTGTGTCTCCTGTGCTATGCACGCTCAAGCACAATGCAAAGCCGCCACTCTTTCCTGTTCCAGGACTACACGTGCCCTTTTCTCCCAACTCACCGCAACCTTCCGCAAGCTACCGCACCTCACAACATCCCCCCTGCCTCGTCATCCACCCTCCAGGTATGCCCGGGAGATGGCGATGATCTGCATCCGGGAGCTGTTCAAGAACGGCACGACGACTGCCGCGGTGTTCTGCACGGTGCACCCGGAGTCTGTGGACGCCTTCTTTGAGGTGGCGGAGACACACAACATGCTTGTCATCGCGGGGAAGGTGCTCATGGACCGCAACGCACCAGAGTACCTGCAAGACACGCCGGAGCGCGCATACGACGAGAGCAAGGCGCTGATTGAGAAGTGGCATGGGCGTGGGCGCTGCCTGTATGCGATTACGCCGCGCTTCGCGCCAACATCGACTGCCGCGCAGCTGGAGGCGGCCGGACGCCTGCGCCGCGAGTTCCCGGACGTGTTTGTGCACACGCACCTGGCGGAGAACAAGGCAGAGGTGGAGTGGGTACAGGAGTTGTTCCCAGAGGCGCGCAGCTACTTTGACGTGTACAAGCGGTTTGGCCTAACGGGCCGCCGGTGCATCTTCGCCCACTGCATCCACCTGGACGACACGGACATGCACGAGTTCAGCGACAGCCGCAGCGTGGCGGCGTTCTGCCCCACGTCCAACCTGTTCCTCGGGAGCGGCCTGCTGCCGCTACAGAGGATGCGCGAGATGCACGTGTTGCTCACGCTCGGCACCGACGTGGGCGCCGGCACAAGCTTCAGCATGTTCCAGACCTTCCACGATGCATACAAGGTGTCACAGCTGCAGGGGGCGAAGTTGAGTGTGGAGGAGGGCCTGTACATGGCCACGCTCGGGGCTGCGCACGCGCTTGGGCTTGACGACCGCATCGGCAACCTGGACGTCGGCAAGGACGCCGACTTTGTGATGCTGGACCCCACGGCGACGGAACTGCAGCAGCTGCGGTGGGCCACGCCGAGCCCGCTGTCGGACCGCCTGTTCACTTTGTTCATGCTGGGGGACCACCACAACATCTTCCGCACCTACGTCCACGGCGCAGAAGTGTACGCTCGCTCCTCCTGAGCGCGTGTACCTGTGCCTGTGCCTGTGTCGGTGTGGGTGCGATTGTGCGTGTTATGATGAAGCACGTGTGTGTCCATTCGACATGTCATCTTTGAGTTGAATCACGGCCCGCACGATATTTGAATGTGTTGTGCTGTGATCCTGTGCACTTGCTGCCCTCAGCTCGCTCTGCTCTTCTTTGGGCGCTTCGAGCTCTCTTCGTTGTCATTGTGCAAGTAATTTGTGGGTTTGTTGGCTGTTTACTACTGGGTGTGCTTCGGCTGAGGCGAGCACGTCAAGTCGGGCGGCTCAGGACACGCACATACAGACGGACACAGACACAAGACCTCACTGCGTCACATCACATCACATCATGTCACATCACATCAAACAAGCAAACAGAGATATAGAGGACTGCCTGTAATGCAACTACACAGCCCATGCAATCAAACGCAGACCGTCAGGAGAAGGAAGAACAGACGCATGCGCCATTGTGCAGGCATTCATTCACGACTGCGTGCGAAGGTTAGGGTGGTGGAAGCACTGAGTGCGGAACAGCTTGCGCGGGTGGTTGCCGTAGCCGCCCATGCTGCGGTGCATGCACGTCTTGTTGTCCCACAGCACGAGGTCGCCCTTGGTCCACTTGTGGTAGTACACGTACGGCTCCCTGTCGAGGTGGGCGAGCACGCGGCCGATGATGTCGCGCGACTCCTCCTTGGTCTTGCCCTTGATCGTGACGTTGCCGTTTCCAGGGTACAGCGACTCGATGCCGGACTCGTCGTGGTTGAAGATGATGGAGTGAAGGGCAACGGGGAAGCGCTCGTCGTCCTCCTTCAGGCTGGAGAAGTCCGGGATCTTGCGGGCATCCACCTCAATCTGCAGGCCCTCGAGCTCCTTGCGCAGCTCGGGATCCATCTGCTGCAGCGCAAGCACCGTGTCGGCAAAACCCGTATCGCCGCCCTCCTCTGGCACAATCACAGAGTAAAGGAAGTTCATCACGTACTCGCGGGGCGCAACCCAGAAGTTGCCCTGTGAAGCATAGTAAACAGCAACAGCAGATCGCACCGGTGCGAGGCAGCCAGTGAAGCAAATTGGCATTTTGTGAGTGGGTGGGTATGTACGGAGGCGGTCAACGTTTGATGTCCGAAGCACTGTGGATGGAGGAAAAACAAGAGCAAGAACACATTTTGAGCGTGGGTGGTGCAAGGAGAACATGATTCTGCCAAACTCACGTCTTGGTGCCAGTACTCGGCAGCCTTGTTGTTTGGAATGATGGTGCCATCCGGGCGCATGTTGGAGACGACGGTGACGCGCGGCTGAGACTTGGCTTGGTGGCCAAACGCCATCTCGCTTGGCAGATCCACGGGTGCACCAAACAGCTCTGCGATGCGCGCCATGTCTTCTTCTTCCAAATCCTGCTTGGGAAGCACAACGACGCTGTACTTGAGGACAGCCTCCCGCACCTTCTCCGCGCCCTCTGGCGTGAGCGTCTTCATGTCGATGCCCTCAAGGACATGGCCGATGCGGCGCGGCGGCTGCTGCTGTTTTGCATCTGCAGTCGTGGACATGGCTGGGGCTGGTGGTGGTATGTGGTGGTCTGGTTGTTAGTGGGGGGTAGTGGGGGGAGCTGGGAGAGAATGCACGCGCCTTGAAGCGTTCTGCTGTGCTTGCTTGTTTCCCCTCCGTTGGAACGATGTTTGTATGGGGTTGCGAAGTCGACAGTGCACAATCCAACCAATTTGCTCATTCATGCAGGTCAGCACGTTGAAGTGTGAAAGTGCTGATACCCAAGAATTGTGAAATGCTCCATATGGGGAAGTGGCGTTGGAGCGATGCCTGAAAAAATTATGCCTGCATGCAGAGGCAGGCTGGACGGAGGTCGCGGATAGATCACTTGCTTTTCTGCTTGACATGAAGAACAGCAAAACACACGACATCTCGCACATTCTTTGGCCGTCCGTTGTGAATCATGCGTTGGTGCGTGGCGTCGTTTGGTGTGCTTCTGCTTGTCGTCGTCGCGGGCACGCAGCTGCGACACGCGGTTGCGGCGGTGGTGGAATATGATCTCGTGGCACAGTATGCTTTTGTGGAGACCGAGCACCACCCCATCTACGCCTCAAGCATCAACGGCACCGTCCCTGGCCCTGAACTTCGCGTGAAGCGCGGCGACCGCCTTGTCGTGCACCTGCACAACAAGTTTGCCACCGAAGGCGTGTCCATCCATTGGCATGGTCTCGAGGTGTGTGTGCCTTTGTGCGTGTGTGTGTGCGTCTTGGTGCGTGCGTGCGTGTGTGTGTGTCTTTGTGTGTGCGTGTGCGTGTCTTTGTGTGTGTGTATCTCGTGTATGTGATTGCTTGCGTGATTGTTGCCTGTCCCCTGTGTGGCATGCGAGGCTTTGCCACGTCCATCCACACACGCACGCGCGCACACACACACACGCACACACACACACACACACACACACTCGCCCACCCACTCAATCCAATCGCCTTGTTCCTTCTCCATGCAGGTGCGCGATGCCATCAACATGGATGGCGTGGTGGGCCTAACACAGTGCGCGGTGCCACCAGGAGAATCCATGACGTACGAGTTTGTCATCACAGACGAGGCGGGCACATACTGGTATCACACACACGCGGGCATCGACCGCGTCGCAAGCCGTGGCCTCATTGGCGCCTTCATCATTTTGCCCGCAGATGACGAGGTGGATCCCCACGCACCGCTGTATGACGAAGACATCACGCTCCCGTTCGGTGACCTGTTTGAAGAAGCCACATACGCCCTCTTCCTGCAAAACTCTGGCAGCAAGCTGCCCTCATCCTCCCATGCACCGGACGGCACGAGCGTGGGGACCTTCCGCTGGTGGACGGGCCACGTGGCGGGCCAGCCCAACCGCAGGTTTGTCCTCGACGTGGAGCAAGGCAAGCGGTACCGACTTCGCCTCCTCAACATTGGCGAACTGTACGCGTTCTCGGTCTGCGTCGACAACCACAACCTGACCGTCATTGCCGCGGATGGCTCCAACACCGAGCCGTACGAGGCAGAGTGCGTGCAGCTGCACGTGGCGGAGCGCTTCGACGTCATCCTTGAAGCCAACCAGCCGGTCGACAACTACTGGCTCCGCTTCAAGCTGACGGAGGACCCAGCCCAGTTCTCCAACGAGCTGCTGGGCGTCGTGCGCTACACGGGCGCGCCCGCCGACGCCTCGCCAACCACCACAACGTCCCCGCGGCTGCAGCAGAAGACGGTCAACTGCTTCGATGCGGGCGCAACACCAGAGCAGGCACCTGACACGTGCATCCCTGTCACAGCGCTGAACCCGTTGTTGAGCCGCCCCGCGATGGAGAAGCCAACCGCGTTCTCACATGAGGCCGAGTTCATCTTTGTGCCTCCACCGTCCTTTGGCCACTTTACGCACGTTCGTGACTTTTCCCACGGCATTGACAACCCCATGACGCAGACAGCCATATCCAGCAAACCTTTGCTACAGTTTGGCACGGAGGGCGACCACGTGCACCCGCACATCAACGCAATGTACTTCGACTACAACCAGACGATCCTGATGTACATGAGCCACCACAAGGACTCGACGCGCTTCACCCACCCAATGCACCTGCACGGCCACAAGTTCCACGTTGTTGGCGTTGGCTATCCCCGGAAGAACGGCTGCCGCTGGACCACGTGCGAGAAGCTGCCGATGCCGTCGCCAGAGTCGCTGCTGCACCCGTCGGAGGCCCCGCTCAAGGACACGGTGGTGATGCCAGCTGGTGGCTGGGTTGCCATTGCCTTCAAGGCAGACAACCCGGGCATGTGGCTGGCCCACTGCCACATTCCGCTGCACCGCGACGACGGCATGCTGTGGACGATGCTGGAGGCCGTCGACCGCATCCCTGAGAGGAACCTCAGCTTTGCCGGCTTTCCCAGCTGCAACAACACGGCCATTGCGCACACGGCAACAGCGTGCGACTGCTACGAGGACCGCGACGCCGTGCTTGGGCAGACGCCCCGCAGCGACTGGAAGTGCTCCGCCCACAGCTTGTGCCGGCACGTGTCGCCCCCCTTGCAAGGCAAGGCGGACCAGTCTGGGCAGGTGCGGTTTGGCACTCGACGCAACGAGACCCCGCACTGGATTGCGCTCGTCATCATCCTCGCCCTGTGTTTTGGCTTCATCTTCCTGTGCCGGTGGCTGAGCAAGCGACGGCTGGCGACGCCAGCAAATGCAAACACAGCGGCCTCTGCCACGCACGGCCACGGAAGCGGCCATGGAACCGGGCTGAGGGAGGATGCCGAGATCATTGCCGGCTCTCATGCCACGTCGCTGGCAGAGCCGCCGGCTGTGTCCCTGCGGTGGAAGGACCTGCGTGTGGTGTCGGCCAAGGGCAGCAAGCCGTTGCTGCGTGGCGTGAGCGGCGTAGCGCAGCCAGGGTGCATCACGGGGGTGGTGGGCGCGAGCGGTAGCGGCAAGACGGTGCTGCTGCGCACGCTGGCGGGCCACTCGGTTGGCATTGTGTGGGAGGCTGGGGAGATTGTGGTTGGCGACGTGCCCGTGCAGGCGCTGCGGGAGGAGAACAAGGCGGCGGTGCTGTCGTTTCTGCCGACGGTGGCCCCGATCCGCGGCGACCTGTCTGTGGAGGACAACATCAACTACTGCGGGGCGCTGCTGCTGACTAACGCCACGGAGGACGAGTACAGCCAGGCCCTTGAGGAGACGCTGGAGGGGCTGATGCTGAC